GTTATATTTTATATTGTATTGGTAGTTTATTTTGTATATCATTTTATTAATCTGTTTATTTGAACAAATATGTTTTAACCCCATTTAATCTTACATTTGTTTTAGGACTGAGCTATTTTACTTTTTTTAATTTTGATATGTTGTATTTTGTATTTGAAATACTGTATTCTACTGTTGATACAGTCAGATGACTAATCAATAAAACTTGTTCTGTACTAAGGGTACTAATCTAAATTAGCTTCATTCTAGGGAAAAACTGAGAGAGGACTGTTGGGAACAGAATAGGAGAGATATCCTTAAAAATATCAGTTTACATTACAGAGGGGTCAGGCCAGGTAGACAAGAAGAAAATTGATGGGGGAGTAAGTCACAATATGCTTGGTGGAATGTGGTTTGATGTTTGCCCCCATCCTTCAGTCCAGTCTGAGCTGACTGTTACAGTTTGCTTCAAGGTAATTACTGAAAAAATCATTTTGCTTGTCACACTGAATGAAGCAACCATAAACTAACTTCTAAAATCTTTCTTCTTGCTTACTGCTCATTCTTGAATTTGCCTCTAACAGAAAATAAGCGAAATTTATCCTTAGTATGCATGAATATATTCATCCAACCCAACAGAAATCTTTTAGCAAATGGTTGTTAGGAATGCACATTAGCAAAGTCTTTAGTTTCAAGAAAAAGACATGCAGAGGCACAGATTCAACCTGATGTTAAACTCCACTCTAAGCTCACTTTTACTCTTATGGTTCTCATCAAAGAGTTATTTGTGGACTGCAAGTCCAGAATCCTCCAGTCAACATTAGAATTGCTGTCCAAAAATGTATCTTTGCCAAGCTCTGGCTCATATTGAACTCATACAGAAAGGAGTCAACAAGAAGTCACTTATCTGTGTGTATACCACATTCTCTGTGGACAAAAGGAAAATTCCTCTGCCTTTGCTGTACAGTAACGATGTCTACATAGTTCACAGTCTGCTTGCAGATCTAGATTCAGGGTTCTCCTGTTTAAAGCTAGCTTTCACAGAGTGCAACAAACAACATGCACAATCAATGGTTGCTTAGTTAAGAATAAATTAAGCTAAGCTGCACTCTCCAGTATATCTCAACCCCACATATACAACCCCCTATATAGCATCTCCTCAAGGAATCTCTTAAATGCATTCCCTTTTACGCTGAAAACTGTCCTAGCAGAAGGGGCTTAGGAGATTGGTAATAAGTTTAAACACAGATCACATGAGACATACATTGTTAATGTTCAAATCAGAAGAGATGAGCAGAGCACTGAAGCTGTTTGTAAAAACTCCTCCAATATTAACATGTTGTTATTTTGACATTACTGTAGGTATATATGTTCAGTACTCCACTTGATTCAACATTTGAGGTCAGAACTTGCCAAATTTTCTTGTACATCAAGTATAAGATGGTGCTTCAGACATACACAATATGTACATGCCCTCTGACTGTGGGACTGTCAAAGAAACTCATTATGTCTTGCTATGTCCCAGAAGCAGTGTTGGTGATGCTAAAGTCCATGATTTGGGGTAGTCTAGAATTTGCTGGTGAATACTGGATTCAAATCCCACTCCACGACTCTTATAAAATCTTCTGCAGGCATTCTTAACAATTAAATTATAAACAGCAATATCTGATTTGTTTCACTCACCTTGGTTTCAGCTGCTTGTTTGCCAGCAACAGCAGTGTTGGTTGCTATATTACTGCAGCTGGCTGCTTTAAGTACAGTATGGCTAGAGGCTACCTGCAAAACACAGTTCCCATTGGGGGGGAAAGAAGTTTACAACAAGCAGCACATTAAGCTATTAATTCTGACATAAATCACCATGAAAATATCTTAAGAGACGTAAAGGTAATCTTGAATAATGGCCTCTGGAATTCAAAGCATCATCTAATCTGCTACTGATGGTTTTATATTATCAGATTATATTATCAAAAACTACTGTAATGGGTTGTATGTGGGGCTACCTTTGAAGATGGTCTGGAAATGGCTAAATGCCATGAAAGGGCTGCAAGATGGCTAACTGAAACTAGGTAATTTCAGTCATGCTACAACAGTGTTTATTGGTGAGACACGCTTTGTCTATTTCCAGTACTAATTTAAATTTCTGTTTCATTAACCATTAAAGTCACTAATGGATTAGAGTAAAAAAAAAAAAAAAATCAAAGATAACCTCTTCCTATACAAAACACCTGAAATTTTATTGAGAGGTCCCACTCTGATGGCTGCCAACAAGATGAGTTATTATATAAAGGAACACTACATGCCACTCGGCCTGAGTACTCTGTAATTGTGCACACTATAACCCCCTTGAGAACCAGTTGTGGGGTAAAAGCATACAAAGAAGAAGGGGTAGACAGCCAGCCAGGAAGTAATCGTTATGTGTGGTTCTGAATAGACTGTAAATATATTATAACTATACGTTCAATCAGAGATGTGTGGATCTTTTCTCTAAGACTGTGGCATCACCTGCTTCTGCAGGTTGTTGTTCAACTAAGGCCCCTGAACCAAGAACAATAATGAGGATTATCATCCTGGGGAAAGTGGCGGGAGCATACCAGGATGCTCCCATCACTATCATGCAAGTGTGCTAAGATTATCAGACGGTGTTGGACAACATTGCCATAATCCCATCATTATCAGGTGAATAAAGAGGAATTCTATAGCTACCTTTTGTTCATGGGATTCTCTCATGAATAAAAAGCGGCCGTAGAATTCCTCTTTATTTGCTTGATAATGATGGGATTATGGCAACATTGTGCAACATTGTCTTATAATCTCAGCACACTTGTGCGATAGTGACGAGAGCATCCCAGTATGCTCCTGCCACTTTCCCTGGTGTGATAATCTACAAAGTTTTAGGGTATTTTCTTACAGTCTCTGTACTTAAGGGATGTGGGACAGAGGACAGAAAGAAAGCAATCTGAATAAACTTGCTGCAAACCTGTGACTCATTCAATAGATGAATGGCAAACACTGGATGGATGTTTTCACTGAAGGAAAAGCATGTCACACCTGCCTTCTAACTGCTTCTAAGAACCCAGTAAAAAAAAGAATAGAGAAGTGCAACCCACAAGTCACAAGTTATCTACATTTGTGTAGTTCCAAAGCCTCCTCTAAGTCCAAAGCATATGAAATACCCATTCTGAAATTCAGTGGTGCAAGCTCTCCCTGTGCCATCAAAAATGAGCAGCAAACCATTATAGTTCTTTGGGACTCTAGTACAAACATTCCTCCTGAAGATTCAAAGATTCCCCACTACCACCACCACAGCTACAATG